GCTCCCCGGGCTCGCCAGGCCCCTGCGCTGGCCCACAGCCCGGCCGTCCGGGCGCTCCCTGCCTCGCCTGCCGGCCAGGTTGGAAAGCCCACGTGAGCACGCCGGCAGGGAGAAGGCCGTCGGAGAGGGCGCGGGGCCCCGCCACACCCTGTGAGGCCGGCCCCCGCCCCCAGCGGCCCGGCTGGGTTGGGCGCCTGTGCGATGCTGGGCGCAGCGCTCAGAGAGGAGCCCCCCTTCCCGGACGTGCGCCCCGGTTTCCAGAGCAACCAAAAGCGGTGAATCGGGATCTCCAGAGAAAGCGTCTGTGTCAGCATCGTTGACTTCATGCTGCGTAACAAAACCCCCCGTGGTTTACAGCAACACACAGAGTTCCCAGTGCGCCAGTCCCAGCTGGGGACAGTCCCGTCCCCACAGGTGGCCTCCGCCACGCATCGGTGTCACAGTGAAGGGACACCACACCCCAACTCGTGCAGCTTCTACTCAGCAGCGGCCCACGTCCCGCCAGCCACACATCAGCGGCCAAGCAAGCCACGTGGCCAAGTCTCATAACAAAGGGCAAGAGCCAAGGAAGCCGCCACAGGGCCAGACAGCACGACCTGGGCACGGAGGGGCGGGGGCAACCTGCACAGAGCCCAAGGGACAGGCCCTGACAGTGCAGAGGCCGCCCACGCCGGCCAGGCCACCGCCAGGCCCAGAGGAAAAGCCCCCGTCGTCACTGTTAATTTTTAGATGTGCTTGTCCTTGTTGTGTCTGAATTGCGATGTGCTTCCTTTTTCTCTTAAATTCACCCACAAAGCAGGGGTCGGTGTGGGCTGGAAACCAGCGTCCTGGACAGGACCTCTTGCTCACGCTGGTGGCGCGGCCACTTTGGCGGGTCGCCACAGAAATGAGCGTGCTCCCTCCGTGCGCCCCAGCGCCACCTGTGGCCCCCCCCACGGAACACACAGCACCCAGAGGGAACGCGTGTACACGTGAGTTAACCATGAATCCTTTTTTCTTTTTTTAAAGAAACAGGCCCCTTCTGGCAGCACCAGGGAAGGCAGCCGGGCTGTGGGGCTGGGCACCGTGCCGATGAGTGACCTCGGCCACCTGCCCTGCATCCCCGAGCATGCTGTCCTCACCCGGTGCCCGAGCAGGGAGCGTGGAGCCTGGCGGGCAGGGCCCCCGCAGAAACGGACCGTGGGTCCTGGGGCCCGCAGGGCCGGGCCGCGGAGGAAGTCCGGTCGGGGCAGCCTGAATTCCGATGTCAACGTGCGTCCAACAGGGGGGCCTTGGCCCTCTGCTGCCCCTTCTCTGGGGCCCCCTCCGTACTCACAAGTAGACAGACTCCTTGGAGCCGCCCCGCCCCACCCCCAGTCCTTCAGCCGGTCCTGCCAGGCCCCTCCCAGCGTGGTCAGGGCTCCCCGCAACCGCCCTTGGTCCGTGCGCACTGCAAGCCTCCGGGCCTTTGCACAGGCTACTCCTGTTTCCTCCTCACGCCTCGCAGCCCTCGCCTCAGCCTGCTCCGCTGTCCCTACTGGGGCTGGAGGGGGCTCCCTGGCCTGGCCCTGCTAAAACAACTTCCCCCCCGGCCTCCCTCAGCCGGTTTTGTCCCCTCACCGGCCCCCACAGAGGCAGCTCCCCTGGCAAGGAACTGTGTAGCTGTGCCCCTTCCATTCCCTGCTGGGTCCCCGGTGCCCAAAGCAGCATCTGGCCCACGGGAGGCAGCTGGATATTCTCCAAACTGGTGTCCCGCCTGCACGGCCACTGGAGTCCCCGCCAGCCCCACGTCCCTGCCGCGCAGTGGCCTCCGCAGCTACCGCCCCTGCTTCGTGCCTGCAGAGGCGATCCGACCTTTGACTCCGTTCCCATGAGACCCAGAAAGGCCCAGGGGGCCAGTGGGAGAGCTCAGGGAGGGCCGCTGACAGGCACTCCCCAACAGGCGCGCTTTCGGTGGCTCATGTTGGAGCCACGTGCAGGTCCCACGGCCGCCCCCAGGCCGGGCCAGATGGGGGTCCAGAGGACCGGGCTCCCTGGGAGACGCCCAGGCAGCACCCCGCCCCCGGGGCCCGGACACGCAGCCGGCCTCCCCCGCGGCCTCCGCCCTGGCTTGGTGCCAGGCCCCACCCGCCTGTGTACGCCCTGGGCCCAGCCCCCTGCTGCCCGGGGAGCCCGTCCTCAGCCTCTGCCTGGCTGTCCCCGCTTCGCTGGCTTACAGGCCACGGGCTCCATAGTTGGCCTTCCCAGCCGGGCCCTCAGGAAGCTGCATCTGGCCGGAGCCCAGCGCAGGCACCCCCTGCAGCCCTCTGCGCTCCCCGGGGCCTGGCCCTGCTCCCTGCCCCGTGCCCGCCCTCCCAGGGACAGGGCAGTGCAGACCTTCAGGCTGCGGAGCCCGGCAGCCCTGGGCTGGTGTCCCTCCGTCCTGCCGAGGTCAGCAGCTCGTCCTCTGGCAGGTCCCTTCCTGCCTCAGTTCCCCCCCACGACGAGCAGGGAACGTGGTGGGGTCTCCCTGGCGGGGCCTCCCAGGAGACACATTGTGCCCGGCATGTGTCTGGCACAGAGCAAGGACCCAACGCTGAAAGCCATCACGGCCCCTCGTCACGGTTGCCCCGGTCACTGTCATCGGTACCATCACCCTGGGTCCCCAGCAGAGCGGGGTCCGACCGTGACGGGGGCAGAATCCCCCACATGGGTGCCCAGCTGCCAGGGGCTCCGGGGTCGGCCCGGGCCTGGACACAGTGAGGAAAGGGCCATCCCGACAGCAAGGCACGTACAGGCGAGCCAAGGGTGGCCAGGCTGCCCTCGTCCGGGACATCCAAGGCGGGAAACTGAGGCCCGCGGAGGGGAAGGAGGCTTGCCCAGGCTGCCTGCGCCTAGAGTCCCACCTGAGACTCCAAACAGAGTGCTTTTCCACCACGGGGGCGACCTCCTGGTCCCCCCACCCCCGTCCTGCCAGTTCCAGCCCGGGAAGAAAACTGCCCCAGAAAGAACGTGGGCGGCCACCTTCACCCACACAGCCCGCACCGCGCTGCGGAGACAGCCGCCCTGGAGACACCTGAGCCGCGAGGCCAGCGGGCCACACGCACCCCCAGGCCCACCCCCCCGTGCGGGGGCGAGAGCTGCGAGCGTGGGGGAGCGGGGAGGGCCCGGGGCCCCGCCCGCAGGAAGAGGCCCCTGTGGCCGCTGCACTCGGGGTCTGCGGGGCGCCCGCCGCCCCAGATTCTGTCGGCGGTGACCCTTTCTAACTGGGGGTGGGGGCCGCAGACTCCCCTCCCCACCTCGGCCGCCGTCCTCTTGTGAGCCTGCTCCGCGGGGGCCGCCACACTGGGGTCCTGGAGGCTTGGGCCTGAGCCGGGCCTGCGCAGGTCCGATTCCGCGTTCCCAGGCAGCCAGGCTGTTGCAGAGCTGAAGGGGGCAGGGGCCCCCCGGTGGGGGGGAAGGGGGGGCGCGGGCTGAGCGCCTCTCAGCATCTGGCCCCAGCTGGGCCGCGAGGCCAGGCCGTCCTAGGCAGTCGGGGCGGGGTGACTGCGAGGCCGCAGGTATCTCCCAAACCGACAGGGGAGCCCAGCCTGCGTCCCTGGCCATGGGGGGCATCGGCCCCCAGCCTGGTGACCGAACGTGTGCGAGTCCTCCGCCTCCCCGGCCCGCGAGAGTACCGCCGGCCCTCCGGGTTTTGCTCTTTGACGTCACCCTTTCCATTGTAAGCCGTAATTTTCAGAGGTTTATAGGTCAGCTATTTTTTAAAAAATGTCTCTCCTTTTTGACTGAAAGGGAGCGCTTTGAAACCAGAAGGGTAGTGGGTGCCCGAGGCCCCCAAGTCCAAGGGCGGACGCAGTCTTGAGTTCTTCCGTAGAAGCCCTGAGGGAGCCCACTGGCTTCCCTTGGCCCTCCCCTCCCCCTCCCGGCAGGCCTCAGGCCGCCCCTCCCCCAATGCAGGGCGCACGGCCCTGAGCACTTCAGGGGTCTCAGGGCCCCTCCCCGGGAAGCCGCAAACCCTGGAGCAGCTGGGGCTCCGCTTCGTGTGGGCGGGTCCCTGGGGTCCCACCGCAGTCAGGAGGGGGGTCTGCATCGGACCGGCCCCTGCGGATGCCCGTCTGAGGCCCACCGGGGCTCAGAACAGGACAGCTGGGTGTGGCGGTTTCCCTGGAGTTCGGGGCGCAGTGAGCCCGCATCTCAGGGCGCAGCCCTGCACCTGAGAGAGAGTGTGTGTGTTTGTGTGTGAGTGTGTGAGTGAGTGTGAGCGCCGAAGGCACGCAGAGCCGGGGCGGGGCCGCTCATCCCTAAATTAGGAGCCTGCAGCAGGTGGGGCGCCAGCCAGCCCTGCCAGGGGACCGTCCCCCTCTTTGGGGCTGCCCCTGGGTAACAATCTATCTCCCTAACCTTTGGGGGGGTCATGGGGGAAGCTGGAGTCAGCACAAGCACACACGGAGCTGAGTTGCAGCGTTTGGTTTTTTTTTTTGGCCTCTTTATTTCGAACCCGGCGGACGAGGGGCCGGGGCAGTGGTGCAGACGGCTCAGGAACCGTTTTAACAGAGTTGTTGGTTGTCTTCAAGTTTAAAGTAGCCCTAATGATAAAAGACACAGCGAAAGCGCGGAGAGACTGCAAGCTAGGTGGGCTGGTGCGGCAGGCAGGCAGCTACGGCTTGTGAGCGACCCCCCCAGAGTCCGCTACAAAAATAAATTTACATTTGTGGATAACCAGGCGCGGGTGACGTGCCTTCGGCATAGCCAATAACCGAGCTATCGCGTGGCAGAGCGGCCCACGCCTCGACATAAATAGAAAATATAAGTTAGTATAACTTTTTAAACTTTTTGTACAAATATACATGTTTTTTTCTTTTTTCCTTTTTTTTTTTCTTTTTTCATTTTTTTTGCACTGAGTTTCAGCAGAGATTAAACATTTTATATAAATGACTCTTAAAGCTTTACACCTTGGGACCAGTGTACTCTTCGTGCAGAATACATTTAGATATAAAAGAGTTATTAATACATTGCACAGTTTTCAAACTTTAAACACAAAACCGAACGCTGCTCCGTGGCAGCTGCCGCCGGTTGCTGCTACATGGACGGTCCCAGCCGAGGCCCAGCGCTCCTCTCCTGTCCGCTGCCCAGCGGGCTCCCTCAGGGCTCTTTGGGTACGAGGCTGCGGGAGACAGGGGGACAGGCACGGTGAGGTGGGCGGGAGGCGACAGCGACGCGGAGGACCCCGGGGACTCCTCCCCGCGCCCCCAGCCGCCGCACTCACCTCATCGCAGCCGCTTGCGCGGGGTTTGCTCCGGGGAGCCGACGGCTGGAGCGCCGCCCGGAGCGTTGCATCCCGCGGGGACCTCGTTGGACGACTTGGCCTCAGGCGCAGGTCTCTTGCGCTTGGCGAAGAAGTCTGCGGGCGACAGCGCGCGCGGCCGGTCAGGGCGGGGCGGGCCGGGGAGCCCTAGAGGGGGCCGGGCGGCTGGCCGGCTGGGGTGGGGGCGCCGTCCCCGCCCGCGCCAAGGTCCGCGGCGGGTCAGCTTTGTTTACGTCGCCGCGCAATGTGCTGTGTAAGCATTTCCCCTTGTCCCGCGGCCAAGCCCCCCGGGGCTGCCGCGCGCGCTTAACCCCCTCCGCGCCGCGGTCGCCGTGCCCGGCCGCGCCCGAGGAGGGACTCCCGTGCCCGAGGGAGGGACCGCGCTCCGAGAGGGCCGGAGCGCGCCCTCCCATCCCTGCCGCCTTAGCGGGCGGCCGGGGAGCACAACAACGGGGCAGGGGCCGGGTGCAGGGCGGCCGCGCCCTGCACGCTGCGGGCCCTTTAATGCCACGGGAGGAGGCGGGGACCCACCGAGGCCCCCGAGGGCCGGGGAGCCCCGCCAGCTGGACAAAGCAGGGACGGACCGGGCCGGGGCGGGGCGGGGCTGAGCGGGACTCACCGGAGATGAGAGGCCCCGGCAGCTTCTTGATCGCGGCGCCTCCGGCGGCGGCGGCAGCGGCAGCGGCAGTGGTGGCAGCGGCCGCGGCGGTGGCTGCGGCGGCGGCGGCGGCGGTGGTGGCGGTGGCCGCAGTGCCAGCCGCGGGGCGCCCCGCTATCCCTGAGTGCAGCGGCTCGGCCAGGGGCTCCTGGTTGCGCGGCGGCGGGCCCGCCTCCTGCTCAGCGCTCTCCGGCGGCGCCGCGGCGGGGGCCGGGGCCGGAGCCACGGCCGGGCCGCTGGCCGGCGACGCCGGCGCCTCCCCCAGGCCGTCGAGGGGCTCGTCAGCCGGCGGCCCGGGGGGCGGGCTAGCGCCCGCGCCTTCCGGGCGGGGCCGGGGCGCCAGGAGCAGGCGGCAGCGCCCCACCTGCACCGTCTCGCGGTAGAAGGCGGGCACGGACTCGCTGTCCACCTCGGTCCACTGCAGGCGCCCAGGGCCCCGCAGCGGCACGTCCTGCTGGAAGTTGTAGTCCCAGCGGCGCTGGTCCTCGGCGGTCAGCTCGGCGAGGCGCATCTGCAGCTCGCGACTCAGCTCCTCGTGGTCCACCGGCCCGAAGAGGCTACGGCAGGCGCTGCTGCGCGCTAACTGGGGATAGGTGCGGCGGGAGACAAGGCGCTCCATTGCCAATTCGCTGCAGAGATATACGTCGGACATGGCCAGGGGCCGCAGGGGCCCGGGCCGCGGGAGAGGAGAGGACAGGAGAGGAGGAGGAGGAGGAGGAGAAGGAGGAGGAGGAGGAGAGGAGGGTGGAGGCCGGGCGCAAGGGAGACCCCGCGCAGTCGGAGCCTGCATTTGCAAAGGGACGCGGCGGGAGGGCGGGCGGGCGCGGCGGCTACCTGGCTGTCGGGCCGTGGACGGCTCCTGAGTCTCGCTCGCTGGGTCGTCCGGCCGCGGCCGCGCCCCCTCGGTGCCTGTCCTCGCTCGCTCGGGTGGCTCTGGCCTGGCTGGCACCCACCGAGCGCAGAGCACTTGGCTGCGGAACGCCCAGCCCTCGCGCGCCCCTTTATACGCGAGGGTCCCACGCCCACAGCTCGCGGGCCCCGCCGCGATTAGCATAAAGTAGTATTTTCAGTTTCAACAACACGGCCTCGATTGGCCCGCGCCGCTCCCCCCACTCGGCTGGCGGCCCGGCCCCCGCGCGCCGCCCATTGGCCGCGAGCACACACCCACCCGGGGCGGGCGGGGCGAGCGGGCGGATTGGCGGGGCGCGGGCGCGGGGCGCGGGCTCGGGGGGCGGGGCCAGAGTTAAAGGGCGCTGCGGGCGGTAACGTGACACCGCGGCGCCCCGCCCCCTCGCCCCATTTTCCCCCGCCCCCCGCTGGCTCCTTTGTCTGCCCGCGGGGGCTACGCGGCGGCGGGGGCTCGGGCGCCCCCCTCGGCCGGCGCGCCCTCCCTGGCGCGGCGGGCGACGGCCCCCGGCGGGCCCGGCGTCCGGCCAGGACCGACTCGCCCCTCGAGGGTGCCCAGCCCGCCGCCAGCACTCGCCATTGGGCTTCCCGCGCCAGCTGACGGGCCTTCAACCCGCCGCAGCCAGCTCGCCCCTGGCTGGAGCGAGAAGGGGTCTTCGGCTGCCCCCGCGCGGCCTGCTGCGCCCAGAGCTTGTGTCCTCGATAGGGCTCCGCACACCTGGAGACCTAGCACACCTGCTGGCCCTAAGGCCCTGGAGCAGGAAGAGGGGGGCCAGCGGGAGGGGGGTCAGCGCCCGTCTTTCACCGGAGCGGCGGCGAAGTGTGGGACACCTTGAGTTCTGGACCTCGGCGCCCTGAAGCCCCCCCACACCCCCCGTCTGAAGCCTCAAGCGCTTGGGGCCCTCCCAGCCTTCCCAGCCTTTCCTGGGCTATGCCTCTCAGGTCAATGATGGGGGTCTGTCACCCTCGGGCCCGGGCCTGGCCACTCCAGGCTGCCCGGAGCCGCCTCAGACAACCGCCCTGGCCGGCCGAGGCTGTTGCGCTGGGTGGGGTAGTGCCCGGAGTGCCCAAGGCTGCTCCGTGGCGGGGGCCCTTGACTAGCCTTGCTAATCCTCTGGGCCAGCCTTGTCCCCTGTCACTGGGGCACAGCAGCACCAGCAGGCCTGCTCCAATGGCTACATGAGCTCCACCATCACCCTGGGGACCAGCACCCCCTCAGACGCGTCGGAAAAATATTGTTGGTCGTTGGGGAAAGACCCTGCCCCTAAGAGTGAAGGGGTGTGCCACCCAGAGTTGCCCTGCCAAAGGGATGGGGAGGCTGGCCAGGGCAGGGGGCCTGCCAGGGTCCACGGCCCTCTGCCCCACACAGCGCGCCTTGGTCCTCTCCAGCGGCCGTCCCAGCCAGGCGGGGCCAAGGGGGACCTTGTCTTCCTGCTGCTTTCCCCTTGGCCTGGCCTGTCGGACTGGGAGCCAAGGACCCAAGGAGCCCTGAGCCCTCAGCCCCCGTCCCCTGTCAGCCAACCCAACCCCAACCAGCCTGCCCCCGCCATAGCGGCAGGTGGCTTGCAGGACGCCTGGGTAGGACGCGGTGAACGCAGGCGGCTGCATGCTGGGGGAGGGCTGGGGAGGCGAGGGTGAAGAGAGGGGGCCCACAGGAGAGGCCCCAACCCGGGGAAGGGACGGGTGGGGTGCCGCCCAGGGTTCCTGACAGCAGAAACAAAGGCGATGTTTGGGTGTTGATTTCTTTATTTTCTGCACACTGCATTCCACGTCCCGCGACAGGCCCGGGTGCCCGTCTTCAGGAAAATACAAGAAACGGAGGCCAGCGTGAGCACAGCCGGCTCCCCGGGGCCCGTGAACCTCGGATGTCACCTGGCCCGGGGTCAGAGGGGGGGCAGGGCCTTCCTGGCCACGCTCAGGGCCACAGCGAGCAGCAGCCACGAAACGGGGGACCACACAGCCCCCGCGTGGCCCAAGAGGTCAGGGCTCCCAGACCCACGCCCAGGCCAGGCCCATCCCCTGGGTCTTGGCGGGAAAGGGAGCCACGCGTCCCCGGCCCGTCTGCGCACCCAGGGTGCTCTCCTCCCTGCGCTGCGGTGAGCGCCTGGACCCTATGGGCTGGGCTCATCTCCCGGCCGCCCCCTGTGCGGACGGGCAGGGGACCCCGACCGCCCACCCTCGCCCTCCGCGAGTGCCAGCGGCTTCCAGCTGCAGGTGGGCCCCAGGACCCCCCCAGTGAGAAGCCCGGCAGCCCTGCCTCCGAGGACTGGGAGTGACACATTCCCACATGCCTCACGTCACAGTGTGGTGGTGGCGGGGCCTCACCTGTTTCACCGGAAAGGGGCCGCAGGGGCCGCAGAGCCGGGAAGGAGTGAGGCTCAGACCGGACCCTCCTCCAGTTTCCTGGCTTCCTATTCTGTTTCCCTGGGGGCCATGAGACCGCCTCCTTTCTGAGCAGAGAGGTGACCTTCTGCGAGTCTGGGACCCTGAATTTAATCAAGAAGGACACCCACCGGCCGACGGAACCCCCTGGTTCCAGGCCCGCGGCCGGGTCCCGCCCCTCCGGCCAGGGACAGAGCTGGCGGGGGACAGCCGGGGACCGGGGGCAGGGAGCTGAGGCCCAGTGCCACCCCAAGGGGCCCAGGCAAGCCAACATCTGTCTGGATACAACCACCAAGCTCTACTTTTGTAATTAAAAATATTTCCGAAGGAAGAAAGGAAACAAAAGAAACAATGTTTGTACGTGTTGCTGCAAACAGCTGGTCCCCAGGACCAGCAAGGACAGCCCCGGGCTGCCACAGCGCCCCAAATCCTGCGAGCCTGGGGGTGGGGGCCCTCTGTGGGGGTGTCAGAAGCACCCACCCCCCGCTGGCCTCTTGCACACAGGCCTTGTGACTCCAACCCCATCCAGCCGAGTGGTCACGCTTCCCCCGCCACCCTTTCCCTCCGAGCGCTCGGAGGGGCCCACGCGCAGCCTTTGCTGCAAGCTGGGGCCAGGCCTCCGCTCCGCAGGCCGGCCCTCAAAACCAACCAAGCAGCTGCCTCCTCTCCCGGCAGCTGGCCAGCGGGGGCCCCGGGAAGGACACTAGGGACAGCAGAGCCCCGGGGAGCGGGAGCCCTGTCTGACCACGCAGGGCAGAGCCACCGGCCCCCTCAGCGCCTCCACGCGCCCACCCGACGGCGATGGGGTGAGAAGCAAGCGCTTGTTTTGCCGCGATCTGCTGGCTTTGGAGTGTACTCCTGGGTCGGGCGTGGGCATTCTCGAGGTGGGGAGCTGGGGAGCGGAGGCTCAGGAAGGTGAACTCTCCGCAGCTTACAGCGGCCAACACGGGGAGCCCACACCCAGCCCCTCGCGGGGCTGGGCTCCCCCGAGGCCCCCGCGGGAGCTGGATATCCGGCCTCCCTTCACAGCTCGGGAGGCTGAGGCTCAGATCGCAAACTCTCGCTCAAGGGAGACTGCCCCGTCCCTGGCCACATGCTGCCCCCTGGTGCCCATGACGGCCGCCGCAGCGCCTCTCGGCTGCCCAAACCTCCCTTCTGCCCGGGAGCCCCACGGAGCTGCTCTGGAAACCCACTGGGCAGACTGCGTGGCGGGGCGGGCCCCCTCCAGCGCGCAGGGCACCCTGCAGGGGCGTCTGCATCCGCGCCCCTCCGGCAGAGCCTCGGACGCTGGCCAGGGCGGTGCCTGCTGAGGAGGCTGGAGGGATAGCACAGACCGGGACGCCACCAGCCGCCCCCGGCCCACCCTGCGTGGCGGCCCTGCTCCCCGCCTCACGAACCCCTCCAAGGGCCCGCAGAGGGAGGCACGTTGGTGCTCATTTTGCAAGGGACGACCCCAAGGCTCAGGAACAGCGTGCCTGAGCCCACCCAGCACTCAGTGAGAGCAGAGCTGTGCCTGCCCCAGCCCCGAGCCCCCGCCCTGAGCCCCCGCCGGACTTCCGCAGGGGCCTCGCGGCACAACAGCAGGAGGGACGGAGTCCAGGGTCCCAGGGTCAACCGGCCCTGGCAGCCCCCCAGCCCCGCAGCCAGGGCCGGGCATCGGCGAGGGCACAGCCCTGCCAGGCATGCTGACCCCTCTGGCACTCTCCCTCTGGAGGTGGCCACGCTCCTGCCAAGCCCATGTGCCTTCCCCTGTGCAGGGCTGCCCCTGTCCCCCTCGCTCCCCACCAGGGAAAGCCCTCACTGCCCCATCCAACCCCCTCCCCCAGCCCTCGAGGGGGGCCCACGCGGCCCTGGAAGGGCGGTGGTCCTTCCTCCAGGCCTGGACAGACGTGGCGAGGCTCCCTGGAAGGCCCCAACCCCCGAGCCTCCCCTCTCCTCCTGCGAGGGGCCTGGAGGCCCCGAGGGTGTGGGGAGTTACAGATTAACCAGCCAGCTCCCAGCGACAGGCGGGGGCCGGCTCTGCGCCCGCCCGAGCAGGGGGAGGCTTTCCGGCGCCTTGGCGGGGGCCCAGCGCCTGCGCCAGAGCCTTCCTCCCGCACCGAGTTCCCGCGCTCCGCTCGCTCGCCCCGCCCCCGCCTCCCCAGGACGGGCTGTTCTCGTGGCGGCGGCCAGGCACGTCCTCCGCAGGTGCCGGCCTCCCTCCGGGGCCGCGTCCGCAGGCCGCGCGCTGCGAGTCGACAGCTCTGGTTACAGGGGCTGCCTTGTGCGCGGGGTCCCGGCCGGGTCCTCACGCCCCGGAATCGATGGGCCTGGGGGAGGGGCGGCGAGAACAGCGAGCAGCCCCAAACCCCACCCCGCCCGCCCGGGCGCTGCTGGTCCCTGGGGTCTCACGCAGGGGGCCCCTCCGAACTGGTTTCGGGAACTTTGCTGGTTTCCACACTGAGTGCCCCAGGGGACCCCAGACCATTGGTCATCTCAGGCTCCAGCCAGACTCTCCCAGGTCCAGAGTGGGGGGCGGGCACGGGGGAGGGCCTCTGGGTGAGCAGGGACCTGCCGCAAACACTCCCTGTGGCCACATCTGAGCCCCCTGGGGCCCCCTCCTCCTGCTGCGCACAGCACACAGACTGGCCGGTCAAGGGAAACAGGCATGAAAAACAAATACCGGAGGAGAGACGCCTCCCTCCTGGACCTCA